CAATCCTGGGTACCCCACACACACACAAATAAAGGCAGTGGACTACACAGGGCCCACCACCACACTCATGCATCCTAATACATGCCACGCAGCAGTGTGGTGGAAGGCAAGGGGTAGGGATGAAAGAGTCTCAGTGAGTGACACTAGCACAGGAATCTGTACCTTGTAGGAATAGTCTAAAGAGCTAATATCCCCATGAAACTGGTTCTGGAGAAGTTCACTTTGCATTGTAGTCTCATGATGCTCTAAGGGGCAACCTTGAGAAGGTCTTATCTGAGCTTACTGCTCTGGGAGTGAACATTTTCTGACTGCAGGTCCCTGTGGCAATATTACTGTACTGGCTCAATGGGCAGCTGTCTAGAGAGTTGGGCCCCAGACACAAAGCTGCTGGAAATTCTCTTGTGGGAAAGGTATACTGTAACATGGAATGGAGAGTGCTTCCCCTTAAAAATCAGTGGTTCTATAAGCAGGATTCTAGAGAAATGAGCATTCACATGTGATTTTGCAAGGGAGCTAAGTATCAGAATATCACAGCAGAGCTGGGCACAGTTGCCCACGCCTGTAATCCCAGCAGCTTGGGAGGCCAAGGCAGGAGGATTTCGAGTTTAAAGCCAGCCTCAGCAGTTTAGCAAGATCCTAATTGACTCAGTGAGACCCTGTCTCTAAATAAAATATAAAAAAGGACTGAGAATGTTGCTCAGTGGTTAAGACACACCCCACACCCCACCCCACCCCCGTTCAATTCTGGGTACCCCCCCCACACACACACAAATAAAAGAATATCAGAGCAGAAGGCAGTGGACTACACAGGGCTCACCACCACACCTAGCACAGAGACTGTGTTAGCTTATTGTCACTTTGACAAAGATGATGAATTTAGAAGAGGAAAGATTTATTTTGGCTCACAGTTTCAGAGATTTCAGTCCATGGTTAGTTGGCTCCACTGTAGACACATCATAGTGGAAGGTTGTGGAGGAGTAAAGCTGCTCACTTCATGGCAGCCAGGAAGCCAAGGACCAAGGAAATGGCCAGGGATAAAACATATGCTCCTGCTGGCACAATGGCTCCTGCCTGTAATCCCAGCAACTCAGAAGGA